CTGGAAACACTGAAAACTAGCCTGGAGTGAATTAATTTTAATATAGTTTGAAACTTTGTTTCCAATCTCAACTTTCTCCAATGACAGTATAATCAGTAAGATAATTAGAAGGTTAACTGCAAAATTATTGCCTCACACTGGACGCATATGTGAAAATGTCTGTGTTGTTTTATTTTATTGCTTTGGAATTTGAAACAAAGTTACTGAAATTTGTCAGTCTCTCTCATGTATTTGTAAATGGGAGTGTGGAAATTGTTTTCTTATTGAACCTAAATGTCAAGGAATAGATAGCATCAGTACATTTAAAAATGCATTCGGAACTGGAAGGCTCAAAGTATTAACAGTGGTATAATGCCATGAACATAGCTATGGTCAACAATGATCTGATTCCATGAACAGCCAGCACTTAGAGGCCAGAAATTAAATAGTTAAGATGATGTTCAGTTCCTTCATTGTAAAAAATGGCTAGTCCATTTCCCTGTTGGAGACCAGACAAGGAATTGAGGTTCAAGGGAAAATTAGGTCTGGTTAGACAAGGACTAGGAAAAGGTTCCATAGACAAGGAGGACACCGAGATTGGATGAAAAGCCGGAAAAGAGAGACTGAGAATAGGAGCCAGGAGGAACAGGGAACCTGTAATGAGGATTCAAGGCAGCCTAGGAGAGAAACGGATTGTAGAGGTGAGGGAAAGAAACACTACTGATCACCATGGCTGATCCTGGCATACAAGAGTATTGGAGTTTTCTGATGCTACAGGGCATGAGGCAAAGTGGAAACAAGAATGAAACTGCAACAAGAATGAAACTGCAACAAGAATGAAACTGCAAGAGACAGAAGGAAGTCCAGTTGGCTGTCCAACTTGATTGGGCTTGCAGCATGAATGGATCCTGCCACTTGAATTGCCTTTGCACACCTTATCTCTGGAAGCAGAAGCAGCATAGTTTTAGTTGTCTGGGTAGTGTCATATAATTGAGTCCTTACTCTTCTGTATCTGGAGCAACCTCATGTAGACCCTACTTGCTTGTCCATGGGATCACACAGAAGCAATCAGGAAAAGGGGGACTGTAGGATTGTGAGGGGATAGGTAGCAAGAGTCCCTTTCAACAGAAGCAGACCGCAAAATTCCTGGTCTCCCCCAGTCTCTATGTGCAATTTAACAAGCCCACTTCCTCCTCAACCCACCCCATGCAAACTTCAGTAGTCCTTCTTCAGCACCACTTACTTTGTAGAAGGGTGCGCTACTCCTTTACCTTCCCAACTACCCTACATGCTCTCCCACAGTCCCTTCTTCTTACAATCTTTTGCACAGTCCAGACGGGTCTTAGAGTCTTGGTCAAGGCTCAGTGCAGCTTCATAGGCTTTGGATAAGTGAGAGTGAGAGTGGCTCATGGTTCTACCTTGAGAGAGAGTAGGGACCCCAAACTTGAATGAGGCCAATGATGTAGTATAGTAAGGGGAACACACAGCTGTCCTTCCCCTATAGCTTCATTTTAGACCAGTCTGACACTATCATAAAAGAATAACTTGGGGAGTAAGAGAGCGTGGAAGGAGGTATGTAATTTATTAGGTGCCCCCTGATTGTTGCAACATAATTCAGCTCCACATTGTGAGGGATTTAGACACTTGAAGAAGATAAGGCCTTGACACAGAACAGCTAACTTCACTCCCTGGCTCTATAGACTAACACTGGACAAGTTTAACCTGTGCCTTGATCCTCAGCCTACAAAAAGATGGGAAACACACAAGAGATGATGATTTGCATGTGACTAAATTTTACAAGTTAGGACCTGTATAGCTATAGTTTCTAAGTCATCATGTCTACTTCTGTACTTGGTAAAGCTTATATATTACCCTTTTCTCAAGACTGTATGTTAAACCAATTTCTCTTTTCAAGTCACAGCATTTATTTGGCATTTTATCCACACTGGACTCTCATAACAAAAAGGAGGTTCCATTAATAACGTGTTGTTTAATATGCCACAATAACTTTTCATATGAGCACTGAAGAGAGCAGAGCACAAAGAGCAAGCAATAAGTGATATCTTAAAACCATGAAAGTCATTCTCAAAAACTGATATGTGAAGGAAATAATGAGCTATTAATTTAAAAATATATATTGTCACAGTGACACTATGGAGATACCATCTCTATGCTAAATTGTCAAGTTAAGTCCCTAACGTGTTATTTTTACAGAAATGCTGCTCAAGTGACACTATAAATTCTGTACAAATCTTCCAGTTATTTACTAAGCGATTAAACCAATGCAATTTATTATGGTTGTACTAAGGTATTTTTGCCTGGGATGTTAAAAAAATTGCTGCCTCAAATATGCCCTTTTGCTGCACTTTATCAATATTGATTTTACTTTTTATCTTATTTGGTCATTTGTTTCTTTTTTTTTTTTTTTTTAAGATTCACATCTTGATACTATTCACAAAAAATGTTTCCCCTGCTTCTTTTAAAGATAATCTTGTTTCTTGTAGAATTACTCAGTTTTAAAAAAATATTGTATTTAAAGTATTTATTAAATAATTTGTTTATTTAAAATGTATAAATTAGTTAATGTAATATAAATTAATTTAATAAATTTGTGAATAAATTATGTATACAATATTTAAATAATTTTATATTTCAGAGTCTCCCTATGCCTGAAGAAGGGTGTTTATGCCCGAAAGCTTGCAAAGAACATTTTTCCAACTATTTAGTTTGTCTAATAAAAGATACCTCATCTACCCAAAGAACCTTGCCTGCCTATGTCTTCAGACCAACACAACTACAACCAACAACTGCCATCAGCTTCTGTTTTTTGAGAAGACATAGAAAAGCAATCATAAAGTTACTCTGGAAATGCTCCCCATGAGTACTTTCAAGGGGCATTTATACATGTGCTCTAGGAGGTGGCAGGCGGGGTGGAGAGGAAGGGCATTTTAATTACAGAGCCCGCTCCAAGAGCTGCTTTAATTAAAGCTCCCAGAGCATCATGTGCATCGGCATTTCCATGCTGAAATATGGTGGTGGGGGCACTTTAACTAAAGCTCATTGAACAAGCTTTAGTTAAAGCACCCCCACCATCATTTTTCAGTGCAGGGATGCTTATATACATGACACTGGAGTCTGCTGGAGTGCAGTACTTACCACACTTAATTACCACGATTGAGTCTGCTCGAACACACTATAGTTACTGTGCTTTGGAACAGCTTCGATGCATGTGTATAGGTACCCAAGCACTCCAAGGCAAAGAGTTGAAGAGCAGCTACAGAGTTGTCCCTGGAGAAGCTTCACCATTGCTTATTTTGTAAAATATAAATAAATATAAGTGCCTACTCCCAGAAGAAGGTTGAGGACTGTGAATCTTGAACAAAGATCAAGAGGCATCTGCCTCCCTACAGTGTACGATGAAATGCCTCTTTTGAAGTACAGGTTTTAAGCCATATCCCACTCCTCAGCAGTTCAATTTGGATACCTCAGGAAGTTACCCATTCAGCAGTCTTTTGAAAATCCCATTCTGAGGTACCTAAGTCTATTGATTCATCAGTTTAAGCATTTAATTTGAGGCTATGAATTTCATGAAGGGGAGATACCAAAGTCTGCTGCACTTGCTCTCTCTTTCTATCTATTCCTAGGGCATTTATATGCATGCTCTGCGACTATGGGGGTGGGGGAGCACTCTAATTAAAGTGCCCAGAGTGTCTCATGTATCAGGGTCAAATGAGCTTTAGATAAAGTACCCACACCACCATTTTGAAGCCTGGGGGTTCTGACGCACAAGACGTGGGAGGCTGCTGGAGCACAGTAATTGGCACACTCCAGCAGGCTCGATTAGAATTTTTGCGTGTCCAGCTGACACACTAGAATTACGGGGCACTGAAGCAGCCTCCCTGCTTGTGTGCAGGCACCCCTAGATACCTTCTTGCATAATTATCGGGCGAAATACTTACGAAAATCTGCCTTACACTGCCCAATGCAAAGCTCATTGAAGTATATGGGAGTCTCTTTATTGACTTTGAAAGCTTATGAATCAAGCTTCTGGTTTTAATAGTGATCAGCGCATCTTTAAGGTGCTGACTCTGTACTGTTTTTCTCACATGCAACACACATTCTTCCCCCCCCCCGCCAACATTAGGGTTCATGTGCTAAGTAGAGCAGAAAATCAGCTTCCCAAGATAGAATCACCCTTTGCTCTGACTCCTTTTCCACAATACAGCATCTGTTGCATTACTATGCTCAGGCAGCTGAGGGTGTTAATTAACTTAATGGCTCACTGTTCTCCACTCCATGTGTGTTAAATATTGTCACTCTTTTTAATGATTTTGATGCTCCACTACTCAAGCGAACCCTTGTATTGGGCATTTTTTTTCTGCCTGCTAGCTACTCCTTGTCTCTCTCTTTCTCTTTCAGAGCCTTGGAAACTCCTTAGCTCTTCTCAAAATCAGAAAACCACCCCTGGGGACCAGTCTTTAGTAGTATCTATGAAGGGTGAGTCACTGAAGTGAGTCAGCTGAAGATTAAGCTCTGTTTCTGCTCTATGCAACCATAAGTCTAGTAAAATCTTTTCTTTGTCTTTCTGCCTTTCAAAAACAAAGTGTCCATTATATTCCAGGGCATGGTGTATGTGAGAAAATACAGCATTATTAATCTGTTTCATTCAAATAAAACTCTGATGTTTGTCCATATTGTCCCCTACATAAAGAAAAACTTCCCAATATAGTTCACCAAGCCACTAGTTTCAAATAATTCAAGAACTTCCTTAAACTCACTTTTTCACAAGGTCCATTTCACATGAAGTGACTCAGCAGTACCACTATTATATACACATTTAAACAACATCATAATCACTGAAGTGATAAGAAATGCAGTAGCCTTAAGTGAGGCATCACAAGACTGCCTCTTCATGTCCATTGTCTTTCCTCAATCTGCTAACTTTCTCCAGTGAATTAAATTCATGGTATCATATTTTAATTAGTGCCACTGGAACTACCCAAATGCATAAGGTTTCTTACATGGATAGGTGTCTGCAGGACTAGGCCTTTATATTGTAAAGTCCCTAGGGCATCAGCCTTTCTATTTGTTTCCGTAAAACACTAAAGACAATTGGCTGAATAACAATAATGATGGGAACAATAGTGGCATAGGGTCAGTTCTCCTTAACAATAATTATACTATGTTACAGTTAGTGGATCTATTATTGTTCCCAGTACATACAGTTGGTCCTGCTTCAGACCTATTTTGTATTTTATGTCCTGGAATTAAATAAATACATTTTAATCTTTTTCTTTTACTCTGGTTATTACAAAAAGGAAGGACTAACAATTCAACAGGAAAAATGCACATGTTCTGTGTAGACTTACCCCCAAATTCTGTTTATGATTTCAGTTCATTAAATCCCTCCCCTATTCTAGGATGAATCTTACATTAACACAGTAAGCCAATTTTTCTGCTGTGAGACAGAGACATAGACAGATCCAATATTTTTAAAAGAGGTGATCAGGAGCAGCAATAGGTGCTGCAGGGGTAGCTGCACTCTCTTGTTCACAGCTTTGTCCCCTGCATGGAGGCCGGCAGAGCCCAGCCTGGGAAAAGCAAAGCTAGGCTTTTTTTTTTTAAGTTCCTGAATCAGGTAAGAACCCTCCCACCCTCAGCACAGTCTCCCTTCCTCTTCATGTTCAGTGGTACCTCTACTTCCTACCCACTACTGCCCTTCCTTCTCTTATTGTTCTGCCCACAGGAAAGTTAGACCTGCCCATGGTTGCCACGGTCCTGGCCACTCCTGCTCTGCTTTACCTGGGGCTGCAGGAAACACCTGCATTGGGTGCCAGTCTCAGCTGGGGACAGCACTGGTAGCAGGCAGGTTCAGGGGTGCCTGGTGACTCCTGAGTCTGGGGGGGCACAATTTGTGGGTGGGCCTGGGGGCAGACCAAAAGCCCCATATCCACTCCTATACTTCTGTACCACGGCTTAGTGCCCCCTCCCCCCCAACACGGCCCACATGGCAAAAAAACTGCTCTGTCCTGAGTCAGGGGCCCATCTCAAGGGAAGCATATGCCCCCCCGTATCCCCCTTATCAGTCGCCTGTGGGCAGGTTCCCCCTCTTTGCTCCTGTTCCCACACTAGCAGGGAACAAACAGGGTGATCAGGCAGGGAGCTGAACCTGGCTTCCTGAACAGCCCATCTGGAGTAGGGCAGGAGCTAAATTCTGGTGACAGCTGCAGTGGTGAGAAGAGGGAGGGGAGGCTTGGGAGGGAGGTGCCACTGAGCACAGAGGAGAGGAGAAGGGAGGAACTCTTACCTGCTTTGGGGACTAAAAATATGTGCCTGCTGCTCCTACAGTGTGATCCAAAAGGGGGTGCAACCATGCCACTGCACCACCTGGAACTATTCCTACTCACAAGTAGAGCCAGGATGACACTTACAAACTCATTCACACTGGTGTAGTAAACCAGGTTTGTAACTCTTGCTTTCAGAAGTGAAAGACTAGTACAACTAAGTAACTATACCAGCTATGATAAGTGGTCATGAAAAGTAAATTAAATTAGATGATATTATATGGATGGATAGAGGCACAGGGCTAAATTTTCAGAAGTGCTTGATGCTGCTCTCAGTATAATCTTTACTATGCCTTTAGAAAGTTTTGGCTTAAAGACAGATAATCTAAGTTCAGGGCTTTTCAAATCTAGATTTCTGCTTGGAGCCTCCCTCTAGATTAACCTAACAAAAACCTCAAGGAACATCTTTGTGTTCTATTGCAACATTTTTTGGGTCTCAGCTAATTGCCTGGAGCATTTCTTGGTGTTTTTTCTTCTCTTATTCTCTTGGCCTCTCAACAAGGCACATGGCTCATTACATTGTTGTTCTCTAATTATTTGGGGAAAAATATCTTCCATAAAAATGAATATATTATATAAATACTGTTCCTAGATGAAAAGAATGCAAGTGTTATGCTGAATAAAAAAATGTATAACACTATAAGTGGAATAATTAAAATCAGAAAACATAAAACTGTTACCCTTTTCTTGATAACAAGCAAAAATTAAACTTCCACCACTACATCATACAGCATAATAGGTGGCTATTTTATTCCTACAGTGTGTTTCCATTGCATAGTTAACTGGGTCTGTGGAGAAATTGGTGGGATTGGAGCACTAGCAGGGTCTGCAGGGAGCTAGTAGGGTATGCAGGTGGTTATAGGGTCTAGGAGGGTCTGGTCAGATCAGGGAGCTACCAGGATTCATGCAGGGACTTGGGGAGATCAGAGGGACTTTGGAAAGATTAGAGAGGCTCTCCAATTCTGTAAACCCCCCAAATTATCCCCCCAATGCCACTGAACAAAAACCACAAGCCACCCCCTGGGCTTGTTTTACAGGTGTCCACCATTCCCAGGAGCCTGATTCAAGTAAATTAGGGTAGGAGGAGGGGTGCACAGAGCAGGAAGCTGGTGGTTTTGCAGGGGAGGGTTTGGTGGAATAGGGGGCTCTCGCCCCTTCCCAAGACCCAGAGGCTAGCCCCCTGGACCCCCACATACCCGTATGAACAACCCCTCCATCCCATATGCCCCTCCCCTCACCCTTATTTCTATTGGCTCATGGTACCAGCAAACACCAGTAAAACCAGAACAGGGAGTGGCTTGTGGGATGGGGGGTAGGGGTCATTGGCCAGTCCACAGGGGGAGGAGAAACCAAGGGGCTAAAAATACTGGTCATGTCTATATGTGCATTTACACCACTTAAATTTACTGTGCAGTAAGTTACTGTGTGGTAAGAGGGAATAGGCACGCATCTACATGTGCAGGCATTAAAGTACATTAATGCTGTGTGTAGACTGACTTGGGACTCAAGTTACACCCAATTCATTCCACACACACAGTGTTACTGTGCAGTAAAGCATTTATACATGCATTGCTGTACATTAACTAATCAGGCATAACTTTGATATCTACATGATGCCTGATCTAATTTATACACCATATTTACTGCTCAGTACAGGCATCCATGTGTAGATGTGCGACTGTAATTTCAGTTACTCTGCAGTAAATGTGCATGTGTAGATGTGTCCATGCTGTTGCTAGGAGGGGTAGGAAAGCACAGCCTTGGGACTGTGCTGGTTACTGTACAGAAGTTCAGTTAGATCACTCTTGACACACCTGGTCTAAGTTAAACTAACTCTGAGGTACAGTTCAGTCAGGTCAACCATTTTTAGACTGATCTAACCTTCCTAAATTCTGTAACGTTTCAAACTTGGATTGACCTAACTAGGTCTAAGCATGAGTGCCATGTGCCCCCGGAGGCTGGGGAAACATGACAACTGCTCGCAGGCAGCAGCAGCGGTGGAGGTGGTGAGTGGAGAGCTCCCGCAGGTGGCCACAGCAATGTCAGTGGTGAGGTGGGGGTGGCAAGTGGCAACTGTCCACAGATGCCACTGGCAGTGTTACCGGTGCTTTTCGCAGGAGGTGCACTGCCAATCTCAAGGGGTGCATGGGCACCCCCATGCACCCTCTACATGTCGCCAATGGATCTAAGTGTAAGGTCCACATCTGGGCAAACCAAGATAGATCAGTTGGCCATTTTTAATGCTATCTAACCTCCCCCTAAACTCCCCAAACATCTGTACCTAGCCTTAGAGATCCTTTCTAATAATGGAGGAGACAGCAGTTTCTTTGTGTGCTCATGCCCATGATAGTATGAGCAACAAATAGGCCTGTCCAATGTGGAATTTTGTACTCATTATCACAAGGTGGAAGTGAGGATCCTGATAAATTATATGTGATATCAAAATCAAACCTTGCATTATGAAAAAACTACCAAGTTCTTGCCTAGCAGCAGGAAAAGGACCTAAAAGAATGACTAGCTAGGTGCCTAATTCAGATGATGAGAGTTGAATATAATTTAACACCCTTTCTTCACCCAAGTCAGGCTCCTTTGTTATTCTGAGCATGCCTAAATTAGGCAGTGTGCATACAAATGGCTTCTTATTTATTTCTCTTCAGTGCAAAGGATAAAGCTAGTGCTTCACTTATCTGTGTTCATGCATGGTCTCCACTCTCACTTGTGCCAGAATGCAGAAGCCATGAACATTGCATAAGGGTTTACAGCATCAAGGCTTTTGTGCAAAAGCAAAAAAGTAATCTAAGGAGTCTGCATGTCTGCATTGCAATGTTACTGAATGATAAACTACCATTTTTTTTTCCTTTCAGAGAAATAGCAAGATATAATGGCATCAAAATATAATAGTTCTATGTTGCAAGCCACGACAGATTAAATAATATCTACGTAGACATCAAGAAAAATGTTTCCCCCTCACATCAATTTGTTGCAACACAAAATAAATTGTTAAAGAAGCATTTATAAAGAAATGCCAGTATGTGGGTCAACTTATTTGTTAGATTTTCTTTTTGAAAGGTATTTTCAAAACTAATCTGAACACACTTTACCAGCCTATCTGCTGCAAAATATGCCTGATATATCTAAGTGGAACATACCTGTTGTGCTTCTGAATATTGTAGACTTGTCTTCCTTAATGGTAGGTTAGAAATGAAGCTTTTATGTTGGTTAGGGCTGACGAGGAAACAAGAATATGTGTAACATGTTGAAGTTGTAGGCTGACTCAGCATTAGGATGATAAAGAACAAATTCCAATTTTCTACTCCCACTCCTTCCCTCCCTCCCTTTGCACCCAGTAGAAATGCATTGAGAGAGATAGGTGCTTCTCTGCAATGTAAAAAACAAAACAAAACAAAAAAACCCAACCAAAAGCAGGTTGAGTCTATGCTTTGGTTAGAGCAGAACAAAAGATTTCCATCCCAAGCACGCAGTTAACAAATTGGACTACTGGATATTCTGAGTTGAGGGCTTCTTTTCTCTCTTTTATGTTGACCAGAGCTTCTATCTAGAACCTAGGAAACCCTTCCTGATGAAAGTGTTGGGGAAAAAAATGTCAGTTCTGATAGTTTCAGAATTATTTTTAGAGAAAAATGTTTCATCCAAAAATTCCCAGTCAATTCTAATCCTGACCTCCATGGATCTATATGGTCTGGATAAAGCTTACACTTGGGTCTAAATCACCCTGCTTTTGAAGTTTCCAAAAACAAAACCCAACAAACTAATTCTTTTAAAAAAAACCTACAAAGATAAAACAATGTACAGCCTCATTGGTGCATCTGTGGTGTTAACATGCCACCACTCAACAGAATATTAAGCTCATTGTGTATTTTTTGTTCCTGAAATTGCTGAAATCCTGGAAAGCTGTTAATCAAATTTAGTTATAAGCCAATGCCAAACATTCATAGAGATGAGGCAAATGAGACTAATGATGACTGTTGTTTGGAAGCTTTATTCCATGGTATGTGTAAAAAAAGAAAAAAAACCTTCTTCTTTCATTTACCATTGTTCCTTCACAGTGAGAGAAAATAGTAGGCTTGTTCTACACCACTTAGCATAGCATACAATACAAGATTATTTTCAATAAAATTGCTCCATTTTAATTAATGCAAACTCATTCTATAGATCATCCCAAATCTTTTGGATAAGATTGATTTAACAGATCTAAAGAAACATAGTTTAGATGTACTGTGATTTTGAAAAAAGAAAAGAAAAAAAACCCACCAAGATTTAGCAAGCTCACTCGCAGACAAAGAACTGCTCAAACAAAAGGAGTACATTAAGCTCCATATTAACTATATTAAGAGTTATCACAGCAATAGATTTCACATGGCAGAAAGGTGAATGTGGGGGGGGGAGATACTTTTTGATGCAGAGACTCCATCTCCTTTTCTCTCTCTGCTGCACAACCACACACAATAGAGACTTGAAAT